TTAAAATATATACATTCAGTGTAATTATAGATTAATTTATTTAAAATATATACATTCAGTGTAATTATAGATTAATTTATTTAACATAGTATACATTCTTAGTAGTTACAGAGTAATTTATTCAATATAGCATCCATCCTGAACAGTTATAGATTAGCTTATTTAATATGGTATGCATGAATAGTTAAATATTAATTTATTCAGTTAATAGTACAAATTCGGAATAGTTATAGATTAATCAGTTTAACACATTATACATTCTGAATAGTTATAGATTAATCAATTTAACACATTATACATTCTTAGTAGTTACAGATTAATTTATTCAATATAGCATCCATCCTGAACAGTTATAGATTAGCTTATTTAATATGGTATGCATGAATAGTTAAATATTAATTTATTCAGTTAATAGTACAAATTCGGAATAGTTATAGATTAATCAGTTTAACACATTATACGTTCTGAATCGTTATAGATTAATCAGTTTAACACATTATACATTCTGAATAGTTATAGATTAATCAATTTAACACATTATACATTCTGAATTGTTCTGGATTAATTAATTTAATACACTACACATTCTGAGAAGTTATAGTGTTGTAAGCTATATATATTTAATGTTGAAATATATTTATTAGCTAGAAGGGACTGCGAGTTTTTGATGATATAGTGTGACGTTAAGTTCTCGTTAGGTCTAGAAACCTCCAGGTCACAGGTAGATTACAAAACGATGTTCCGTGATGCGTCGAGATAAAGGAGTTGAAAGTTAGTTGAGATGAATGAAAGTTATAGCGCTACTTTGCACAAATAAACAAATTGGTCGTTCATTAGTCCTAGTACTGTTGTTAGAGACGTATAAAGTCATTTATAGGCTTAAGTTATTAACACCATTTTATGATAGTTTAAAAAAATTTTGTCTCATTAAGTGGACTGCACATTGAATTTCTTTCACCTAATAAATGAAAAGAACCCACAAAGAATTAAAGAACTACGTTTAATACAGGTTATTCAAGATATGCTGTCAAAGTAGATAAGGATAAAAATTCAACTTACTAAATTCTATGAGTAGATTATGAAATAAATAGTATATCGATTGAATACAAATATATTAAATTTACGATCATACATTTTTTATTATCTAAAAGGTTCTGTTAATGAATAACAACACATTGATTTTTCCTTGGTTATGTTTCGTTTTTTGTATCTAATGAAGAGAATATTTTGTTATACAAATGAAGATCTGAAGTTAATTTCTACCACATAGGGTGTACTCTTAATGTATAGAGTTAGGCTAGAGTAAGTCTCTTAGTCAATAAATTATGGAGTGTCTTAGCGAGTCTCTTCGTTAGTAATTTGTTTATCAATCAGTCAGAGAGTTACTTAGTTCAATTTTATGCAATTAAGTTTGGATGTTGTGTACCGTAAAGATCGAAATTGCTGTTTAACGTTAGTGTACTATGAGTCAGGCCCATCCGTGAACATTAGTTACGCATGAACCATGGAACTGAAGAGGTTTTTCTTAGATATACTGAACTTATACTTTGTTCTTATTTTGACCGAAGACTTGGCATGGCCTGGCGGTTAAGGCGCTCGACTCACAATCTGAGGGCCGTGGGGTTGTTATAATGTTATGGTCAATCCCACTTTACGTTGATAAAAAGCAGCTCAAGAGATGGCGGTGTTGACTAGCTGCCTTCCCTCTAGTCTATCATTACTAAATTAGGGACAGCTAATACAGATAGCTCTCATGTATATTTGCGCGGAATTCCAGACAAACCCCATATTTTTACCAAACAATCTAAAAGAACTCCCCTAACAATAGAAAATATTACAACAGCGTGATCTTTAATTTCACTTGCTGGCATTTCAAAAGTTGGTAGAATTAAAATTGTGAGTTAGTAATTCTATTTATGTTAACGAAAACTGTGAAAAACTAGCTCCAATGAAAAAACAAACAAACAAACTGTATATAAGATATGATTTAGGGTAAACTCCTTGTTTATGAGAAAACTCTTAACTTTGTATATTTATCGTCAAGTAGAATGGATCTTCAAGATCTGCTGTACTTGGTAACCAAGGAAAAATTATTGTATATTTACTAGTCGTCTGTTCATGGAGTGTTAGTCTTGTAAGTAGTAGATAATCTGTCCAAATTAATAAAATTTAATATTGTTACGTCTCTTTTCGTTTGTTAATTTCCCGTATAATTTATTTCCGATGAAACTTTAGCGATACAAGTCCTTTCTTAAATAAAACTAGTTTATTCTTTCTCAATACAACTTTGCAATACACTTAATTTCCACAGTCACTTTAACTTAAACACATGCTATAATTCTCAACGATTCACGTACTTTACTTATGGTCACTACCGCGCTTGACTCAATTATCCGTCTCTATCTGTCTGCAATTCCATTGTCTCCAGTCAAATCTCGCCGGTCTTATATACTATAAAAGCGCGAGTCTAGCAAGCGCTCGAGCCTTCAGGAACGTTCTAGATACTCGTTACGTGTTACCAGCGTCACGTGAATTCCGCTGTCATAACAATATTATCTCCTTTAAATTTCTATATATTAACATGTACAAAGATACCATATTGATCAGAAAAATTATATAAACGGAAGGCTGCCATGATGACTGAACTCTTTATGAGGTGTTAATTCACATGTTATCTCTGTCTTTATCAGAGATTTATAAAATTGAGTATGCACAACTGGCACAAGGCATGTCTGAAATGCAGATTGATTTGTAACTAACTATACACAGCGATGCATGTATAATAGTATTAAATATGTACTTTTCTCTTTTTTTGTTTGTTTTGTAATTAATTTCGTATTTTGATTGGTGTTTCATAGTGAGTTTTCAATACGAATTTAATTCTTCCTATAATACCAATTCGCAATATTACGAAACCTATAAATAAACTCTTTACGCACCAGAGTTTTTGCATACTATAGACCATTGAAAAATATAGAACAGAAAAACAATCCAAAAACATTTCTGAACGTGATTAGTCATTATATAATAATTCTTTGTTCTCTAGTATATATACTAATATAATGATCATCTATACATTTATTCAATAGTTTCTATTTCTGTTTAACAGTTTTAAATAAAAGAGAAGTAATGTTAATTTGCCTTCTACTTACGACAGTAATCTAACAAAGGCCACGAACAATACTGATAACAAGATGATCCCTCCTAATGTCGAAAAAATGGCAGTAGTTAGGTTACTCTTGTGAACTTCTTCTGTCACTGGAAATACCAGAATAAATAATAAAGATTTCTCATGGAGACGCAACAATAGAGGTATAATTTGTTATGAGGCGAGGGAGTAGTTGCCCCCAGCCCCGAACTTTGCACTATATACCATAATCGAATATAAGATGATTGATAATGGTTGTTGAAACAATAAGTTCAGAATTATATGGTGAAATTATAAATTGGATTCATGGTTTCTGTAATTACTAGTTTTGGTTTATGTGGTCTAGTTAGAAAGTAATGTTTATGGTTCCTGGAATTATTAGTTTTGATCTATATCGTTTAGTTAGAAAGTAGTGTTTATGATTCCTGGAATTATTAGTTTTGATCTATATCTTTTAGTTAGAAAGTAGTGTTTATGATTCCTGGAATTATTAGTTTTGATCTATATCGTTTTGTCAGAAAGTAATGTTTATGGTTCCTGGAATTATTAGTTTTGATCTATATCGTTTAGTTATAAAGTAGTGTTTATGATTCCTGGAATCATTAGTTTTTATCTATATCGTTTAGTTAAAAAGTAGTGTTTATGATTCCTGGAATTATTAGTTTTGATCTATATCGTTTAGTTAGAAAGTAGTGTTTATGGTTCCTGAAATTATTAGTTTTGATCTATATGGTTTTGTAAGAAAGGTTGATAGTTCCTGGAATTACTAGTTTTGATCTATATGGTTTAGAAAGAAGGGTTAATGGTTTCTGGAATTACTAGTTTTGATCTATATGGTTTAGAAAGAAGGGTTAATGGTTTCTGGAATTACTAGTTTTGATCTATATGGTTTAGAAAGAAAGGTTAATGGTTTCTGGAATTACTAGTTTTGATCTATATGATTTAGAAGGAAGGAACTGGAAGTAATTAAGTCAATGCACGTGAGATTACCAAGGATAATTGCTCGTTTGATGTGCGTATGGCGTTGTGAATGGAAATGAAATAATGTAACTGTGTAGGAATATTATTCTTATTTTTGTAAAGTCTGGTCAGAAGTTAGATAAGAGTGTTCATGAAAGCAAGTGAGTTAAAGCAGGAATATTATTCAAGGTTAGGGGTGGAAGGTATTTCAAACTTATGGAAATCTGTTAGTGTCTCTTGTCTGTGAGTTCATATTCCAAAGTTTTGAATAATTTTTATTATAATGCTTTACGTTAACTTGTGGACACGAATATGGCAAAAAAAAAAAACTCTCCTTATTACCTTTTGCTACTTCTTTGTTCTGTTTAAAGTATTCTGTGTCAAACTTATGTGTTTTGTCACTTATTGTTTACATTGCTTACAGTTTCATCTATTGCTATAGGTATAAGGATACAACGCCCATGGTGAACAGAACGCTTTTGTTTTGTACAGGGGTGTGTCCATCTTTTAATCTATTGAGAAAAATCTTTCGCACCTAATAGATAGGTAGAAAGAAGTTTTATGAAAGGTTTTAGCATACAGTATTAGAGCCAAGAAATGACTTCTGTGCTGAAACAATTTTTATTGAAATTACTTCCATAATTGTGGTACACAGCTGTGGTTCGGATTTAAGATTTTAATGGCATTTGTGGGAATGTTAGCAATTTCTTTTGATGAGGTCTGTGTATTTTCTTTCAGTTGAAAGTATTGGATTGTTTTTATGTAAGAGGATATTGGTGGTTCTATATTCCATGTGGCTTGTAATAATTAAGATATTTAGGCAATTGTCCTTTATGTAACTGTAAGAGGATAGTTATAGTTCCATATTCCATGTGGCTTGTAGTAATTAAGACATTTAGAATAATGTTCTTTATGTAAGGGGATATTTACCAAGAATAATAAAAAAATATATTTGTAAAAAGGTTTAGCCAGGCATGATTTTAGAATCGGAGATTTTTTTTCCCAGACCAACAACTGGTTCAAAGAGACATTCTCTTCTGCCATGTTTCATTCTACTAAGTCTTCAGGAAAAAACAAAAACGAGGGTATTGGTATATACATTAAACCAGTTAGTGGTCCAAGTTAGTGGTTAGTGGTTTTTTTTTTTTCAAAGAAGTGAAAAACAGCATTATCTAAAAAGGAATGGTAAAAAAATCAACAACAGAAAATATATATTACCATTCACTTACCTTCTTTACATAGACCATTTACAGGTCTATAACCCAAATGACAGTTGCATTTAAAGTTGTAACACGTAGCAAAGAAATCATAGTTGCAGTCATCATTAGTGACACAGGGTTTACCAAATACATCTGGTGGGTAAACAAAATTACATAGCTCTATGAAATTGAAAATGCATCTTATAAACGACAAAACAAACAAACTACATAGTTGAAAGACGGATAACTTATATTACAAATAATGATACTGTTCGCTTTATTTCTTATTATAAAAATGTAGCATATTTGATATATTTGGCAACTAGATGTCTCATCTTCCACTAGAGGGCCATTGCAGGTTATGGAAGATGTTTCAATGCTCTTACTGTCTGTCTCGCAAGTAAAGGCAAACTGCACTGACCTAATTTGTAAGGTGTTTTCAAAACTTCTCTGTTTTTTCTTGTGCGTGGAACACCTATAGAGTAAAGTGTTAGTAACAGCTAGACACTAAAACCACAACACGTGAATCAGGAACATCGCCTTCATTCGCAAAGCGAAACCCATAGTTAAGGAAGAAACCCTTGGACTTAAAAAATGTCTTATTGAAGCTGGGTATTTCACTTTTATAACTTACCTATAACCTGGGTGAAAGGGTTAATGATTCTTTCTTCTAGAGGTAGGCAAAACTTCAAGAAGTTTGATATTTGTAAGGTCGGAATTCGTTAGAAATAGTGAGGTACGGCGTTCTGTCCAAAAAAGAAAAAAAAAGGTAAGGGAACGCCGTTCCCACACCACTGTTTACCTGTCAAATTCTTTTCTGTTCAGGTCTGGCAGTAAGGGTTCTCAGCTTGTAATCTGCGGGTCGTAGGACATAAAATCAATGCCGAACATGGTCACCTTCGGAGCATTATATTGTAACGGTCAATCCCACTAATCTTTGGTAAAGAGTAGCTCAAGAGTTGAAAATGAGTGCTGTAAGACGTCTGTTTTCCTCTTTGATCGATAATTCAAAATTGGGGACCGCAGCTTTTCCATGAATAAACAAACAGATATTTTCGTGTTTTATAATTATAATGTTCAAAAACACCTCTTTTGTAGAATCTCTGACTTGCTTTCAGAGTGATGAGCTCATTAAACACACTCATCTTATTATTTCAGAGTAATGAGCCCATTAAACACATTTATCTGATGATTCCAGAGTAATGAGCCCATTAAACACATTCATCATATTATTTCAGAGTAATGAGCCCATTAAATACATTCATCTGATGATTCCAAAGTAATGAGCCCATTAAATACATTCATCATATTATTTCAGAGTAATGAGCCCATTAAATACATTCATCTGATGATTCCAAAGTAATGAGCCCATTAAATACATTTATCTGATGATTCCAAAGTAATGAGCCCATTAAACACATTTATCTGATGATTCCAGAGTAATGAGCCCATTAAATACATTCATCTGATGATTCCAAAGTAATGAGCCCATTAAACACATTTATCTGATGATTCCAGAGTAATGAGCCCATTAAATACATTCATCTGATGATTCCAGAGTAATAAGCCCATTAAATACATTCATCTTATTATTCCAGAGTAATGAGCCCATTAAATACATTCATCTGATGATTCCAAAGTAATGAGCCCATTAAACACATTTATCTGATGATTCCAAAGTAATGAGCCCATTAAACACATATAATATGTGATGAACAACATTTATTTTTAGTCACCTCGCTTTAGTTTCAGTAACAACGGTTTTTATACGGCTTATAATTATATTCAACAACAATGGCTCTCAGGTAATATCTGATCGGATACAAAAATAATGATTTACATAATCTCAGATTAAAGCTAGATATAGTGATTTTTATACAATATCAGTGACTCTCGGATAATATCTGGCCAGATTCAACAAAACAGTGAATTTCATAATCTAAGATTAAAGCTAACCGTAGTAATTTTATATAATATCAGTCGATATCCAGTACAAGTAACTTTCAGATAATATCTGGAAGATTCAACAAAACAGTGAATTTCATAATCTAAGATTAAAGCTAACCGTAGTAATTTTATATAATATCAGTCTATATCCGGTACCAGTGACTATCTGATAATAATAATATGCGTTCAGTTGAATGTTAGCCATAGTTTTAGGAGTGAGGTAAAGATTTTATATGAACAAGTGTTTTCTTACGGCAATGTTCTTATTATTTTGACTAGAGTTATCTAATTTTCATATGAACAGTTGTCTTTGTACTTCAAGTTTTGTGAATTTTTTGAAACCAACATTTTTAGTTTTGTTATTTATGTTCATATGAGCAAGGGTATTTGTACTACAAATGTCGTAGATCTTGGTTTTATTATCATAAGCAAAAATACAAACCATTCTTTTTTAAAGATAGTTTCATTGGCTTCGAGGTGACATCAACTTCTATAACATAACTGTTTAGTGACATTCACATAGAAAAGCAAACAATTAACGTGGCAACACCACGGCTCATGATCGTCAGAACTCACAGTTACCGTTCAGGAACGTCAAAACATGAACCCAATCAATGTTTTCATCCATAAGTATAAATACTTTTGTCTAGTATAATTCTCATACATGTTGTGTATCTTTAGCTACATGAACGGCACAACTTTGAACGAAACATTATAACCATCAACAGTAAGTAGCCGACGTAATATTTACATATGTACATATCTCTAACGTTAACTACCACGTGCAGAAAGTAATATGAAAATTCCATGACAGTACAGAAGTATATTTCTCTTAAACAATTACGTATTCATTGAGAACATTTTATATAAAAAAACGTACCTTTCTCTTCTATCTCTCGCGATTCGTCAGAATTCTCACTGTCGTCAGCCGCGATGTTACTTGCCACAACCTCTAAAGTTGACTGGTGTACGAAAACAGCCATCAAAACTGCCGTGCGTAAGTACATGTTTAAATCTTCTACGTTATTAAAACTGGTTACCTAACACATCGTGTTAGTAATTTCAGTGCAAATAACTTATAATGTTCAGAATATTCTATTAAACTCTTACTTTTCTTTAATGTAAATACGATTATAAAATAATGTTTTCCACATTAAATGACACGGGACTTACGAGGTGGGTTAAGCAATCACGGTGTTGAAAAGATTTAGGGTTTTGGTTAATGTATTTTAACTTTAAGGGTTTGCTGACAAAAACAAATAACTAGAAGATAAACACCCACTTAGGAAACGTTGTTATCAGCTACGAACGAACAGTCACAACGTAGTTTGTGATTGCGTCTATATTTGTATTACAATGACATTTTCACGGGTAATTAAAAAAAGAGAGATATCACCTACAAGGGTAAAGGTTGTGATATTTATCGACATACAAAGGATCGGCAGGACTTTACCCGTTATTATCAATACTTGAAAAAAGTATCCAGAACGTTACCTGTTACTAATTAAAGTAAATAATTGAAAAAAAGGCCTTTATTTTCCAGAACTTTAAATTTTATTAATACTTGGAAACTTTTCCAGAACTTTACAGTTATTAATTACATTAAGTACTTGAAGAAGAAAAAATTGAGGACTTTACGCGTAATAATCAGGTTAAATACTCGAAAAAACTTTTTTTCCAAGACTTCTCACTATTAATACTTTAAAAAATTTTCTCCAGGACTTGATTAGTTACAAATTAAAAAAAAAAAACTTTTTTCTTCATGACTTTACACGTTATTCATACTCAGAAAAAAAACACACCTCTTTCTGCAGTACGTGAAAAACACATTTTCAGGAGTTGACCAATTATTAATTGGATTAATTACTTGAAATAAGATTTCTCCAGGACTTAACACGATATTAATACTTAAAAAAAAATATTTCTCCAATACTCGAAAAACACACTTTCTCAAGACTTTTCTAATTATTAATTGGATCAAATGATTGGGCCCCCCAGTGGCACAGCGGTATGTCTGGGGACTTACAACGCTAGAAACCGGGTTTCGATACCCGTGTTGGGCAGAGCACAGATAGCCCTTGTGTAGCTTTGTGCATAATTAAAAACAAACAAAAACAATCAAATGAGTGAACAAATTCTTTCTCGGATCTCGGGACTTTTCTAATAAGTAATCAAATCAAACACTTGAAAAAAAAACAACATATCTCCAGGACTTACTTTATTCGTTATTAATACTTGAAAAACTTTTCACAGGACAACGACAATAATTTTTCATCTAGTGATTTGGACATCATGGAAACAAATACTCCAGCATGTTCCAAGGAACTGGTGTTTTGAAGAGCTCTCGTGAAAAATGAAGATGTTATAGAATACTTTATCCAGGAAAGATTTAACTCAGCTTGTGATAAATCGAAAGGTCCCTACGGTTTTAATGTTGATAAACCTGGATTTCACCGAACAGCTTGTGATAAATCGAAAGGTCCCTATAGTATTAATGTAGATAAACCTGGATTTCATCGAACAGCTTGTGATAAATCGAAAGGTCCCTACGGTTTTAATGTTGATAAACCTGGATTTCATCGAACAGCTTGTGATAAATCGAAAGGTCCCTACGGTTTTAATGTTGATAAACCTGGATTTCATCGAACAGCTTGTGATAAATCGAAA